GGCAGTAACGCTGGTTGCATATCTAAATAGATTTTATTTAGTTGCAAATTTTTACATACAGAAAAATAAACATACATCAGGTAAAAATATGGGCAAATAGCCTAGCTTATTTGTACTTTTCTGCAATCAGGAAATATACTTCTCACCCACTGCCTTGCTCCCCGACAAAGCTCCACACTGTCGCGCAGTGTNTTTGACCGAGCAATCGTTTATATCGCAAGTGTTACAGATAGAATTAAATGTCTTGCACATAAAATAAACTGGGGACTTTAACAATAAGTTTGTGCAAGCCCTTGGCAAATAAAAAGTTGCATGATTCCTCATCTCAGCGCGTGGTACTAGAAAACTTAGTTGCTCTAGCAAATCTGGGCAATCAGTTTTATTATAAATTAGATTATAAAGGAATTTTACCGACTTACAACGACTGCGGGTTTCTAAAGTTTGGAAGTTAAACATATCTAATAATGTATCGTGATTGAAACCCTGAGCCGGTAGCCCTAAAAAACAATAATTTCAAAAAACGCCTTTGAACATTTTCAAGGACATCAGGATGTAATAGGGATTCCAAATCAATGAGCAATACTCAAGCTTCGATCTAACATACGCATAATACAGAATTTCCGAAGCTTTGATATTAGTGAACGAATGACAATTGCGGACTATAAACCCGCTCATTTTCCTGGCATGTGATTGTATTTGATAAATGTGATCAACAAAACTCAAACGGGAATCAAATAAATCTCCTAAATCTTTCATTGTTTCCACATATTGCAAACTCTGATTTAACAAGTCTCACTCTTCCATTGCCCATAATCACAAGTTCATGGTATCACCATACTTGCAACATCAGAAAATTGCTACATTAGTGTATTCTGCATAAACGAAATACTCCTTAAATATATAATGAAAAAACATCTGAAATTAAACGGAAATTAAAATATATTCTCCTCCCCTCCATCCCGGCACGCCAGTGCTGAGTACAACAACTTTTCACTTCCTGTGACGGCGCGAATCCGTGTTTGCCCGCATTTAATACACCACGAGACGGTTTGTAATTCAATGATAATATGTTATCTACCCTCAGGCAGATTGCGGCTGGAATAATAATAGATAGTTGGGGGGTGCATCTTTTTACCGGCTTGCGCGACATACGGCACACGTTTTCCAGATTATTTCCCCTCGAGTCCGAAGTTAACAACGAGGAAAATCGCGTAATTTGCTCACATTTAATTGAATTTCTTACAAAAAGCCAATGGGTTGTAAAAATAAAACAATTTGTAAATTAATTTCTGTAATAGTGACGATACGTGATGAAACTGAAAATCAATTATAGTATAAAAAAGTTGACTATAAAAAACGATGAAAGTAAATAAAATTTGACGTCATTAAAATGAGCAAAATATCTTCTGCAATGTCTATAATCTCAACCTTGAAAGATGCTACGCTACCACATTTGAAAAAGTGAATAAAGGCTCTCGCCTTTACTGTGGTCGGTTCTAGTGAATACACTTCCAGCCAAACTTTCCGCACAAGGTGTCAGGGATATGTCGACTAATTTGGCAGTTGTTAACAGGAAATTAATTACAAACACTTTCACAGAGCACTCTGGTAGCTCTAAACATAGTAGTGGCTGGTGCTTGAAGGAAAAACTTTCGGTTAGTCCTTACAAAACCACCTTAGTTGCTTTTATTAACAAGAGAGTTTTGGCTTGGTGAAATCGTGGCCAAATACCTTAAAGTAGTTCTTGATCAAAAGCTAAAATGGAACTCTCACACTGAAAAAATAATCATATTGAAGGATAATAGCCTTTGGAAGGCACCTGTGTGGAAAAAAATTGGAATACTAGCTCTAAAATGACTTTATAGTTATATGCAAAGGCCGTAAAGCTTGTTAGGGTCTATAAAATTGAGGCCGAAGACGGTGCAAGTAAGAATTGAAAAACGCCTAAACACTATTCCAAGGCTAGCTGATCTGAGTGGCACATCTATTGCGGCTCTGGAGGTTTTGATGAACCTCAATCAAAGACGCAGATCAGTAAGGATTACGGTAAGACTGCTAACAGGAAAGTACAGGCTCAGGAAGTATCTGCACAACATTGGCCTGAAGGAAGAGAATTTATATAGAACTCTAAGATCATCAGACATCAGGGGCGACTTAGGCCAACTTGCCCTCAAGGTTATTCTTCATAACTTTTACTTATCCTAGTTTTATGTAATTGGATTAAGTTTTCCTGAATCTGCAATCAATTCTGAACAAAAAATGTGCCATTGTTTCATAGCTCAAAAATGAACCGTTTTCGAGTAAATTGGGTCTAAAGTATCGACTGCATTAATCGTAGAAATGTGCATGTAAAGATTTTATTTGCTGTTATCTAACAGGTACCTGTCATTATAAAAAACAAAGTTGTTTAAAAGCGTAGATGTCAAAATTAATTACAGTACTCGAAGTTAAGAGAAATTAAGTTTACAACACAACAAGATATTAAGTATTATGGAATCTTCCAACAGCGAATATGCCTTTATGATATTTGTCTACGGTTTCTGTGATGGAAATTCATTGGCGGCCTCACGGGAATTTCTATGCAGGTTTCCATACAGAAGGCAACCTTTACGTATTCCAACGAGTTTTCCAAAGAGTCCGTGAGGCCAGGAGTATTCAAATTGAAAATACCAGATTAAGAGGTAATTTGGAAGTTGCAAACATTTTAGGAGAAAATGTAATAGCTACTGTTATTGATGATCCTTTCACCAGTGTTCAAAGAATATCAACGCAAGTAGGTATTCCACGAAACAGCGTCTGGAGAATTTTAAATCGAGAAGAACTGCACCTATACCACCTACACAACTAAACTACAAACTTTGCATCCTGGTGACTCCAAAAAAAGGGTACAATTTTGCAGGTGGTGATTAGAAAATATCGATAATGACGAAAATTTCCATCAAAAGATATTGTGAAGCGATGAACTTAACTTTACGCGAAATGGCATAAATAATTTTTAAAATTTTCACGTCTGGTCGATTGAAAATCCGCATATGATACGATCCTCCGCGTTTCAAAAAGATTGTCCAAAAATGTCTAGGGAGGCATCTTCAACGGAGTCATTCTGCCTGCTCAAATTATTGTATACCATTTGAATTCAAAGAGATACACGGATTTTTTATACAATATTGTTAATAGCGTACTAGATGACGTTCCCTTAGTTTTGCAAAATCAAATTTACTACCAACAAGATGGAGCACCTGCTCATAACGGAAGACAGGTATCTGCGTGGTTCGATTTAATTTTCCAGAACGCTCGATTGGGAGAAATGGACCTGTTACGTAGCCTCCCAGATCCCCTGACCTCAACCCGCTTGATTTTTTTACTAAGGTCATATGAAGCAACTAGTGTATGCCAAACTCAATAACATGAGAGACGATTTACTTCAAAAAATTAATGTAGCCGCCGAACAAATTCAAGTAACCGTTGATTTGTGGAACTTGGTCAAACGATGTCGGGCATACATTGAAGTAAATGGTCAGCATTTTCGAGCATTTATTGAAATAATTGTTTTTATTTTTATTTTTAATATTGTCATTTTGCTAATATAATTTCATTTTTGTTGCATAATTTTCAATTTTATTTTTAGTAACCAAATATTAAATAATTCATAGAAAACTTGTTTAGTTTCTTCGTATTAATTGAGCCGCAGCTACATGGGAAACTATACCTCAACGGTAAACAACTTTTTTGTAATTACAGGTACCTACTAGATAACAACAAATAAAATCTTTACATGAATTTTTCTACGAATTAATGCAGTGGATATTTTAGACCCAATTTACTGGAAAACGGTTCATTTTTGAGCTATGAAAAAAGAGTACATTGTTTGTTCAGAATTGATTGCAGATTCAGGAAAACTTAATCCAATTACATAAAACTAGGACATGCAAAAGTTATGAAGACATAACATTGAGGACAAGTTGGCCTAGACCGCCCCTGGTGTCAGATCGAATTATTTCGATGTAGTTCTAATGATTTTTAATAGATGTACACTTTACCCAAAAATTACTTAAATCTCTGAAAGGGTTTTTGAGTTATTGCGGAAAGTTGTTATTATTTTTTTAAAACAACGCCCTGTAACTCAGTGAGAATGCATCGCAGAAAAATATTTTATAAGAATTTTAATCTTATTTTGGTCTGGTCTACCCCCTGGTAAATTTTTGTACGCTCATACTGATACACCCTGTATATTTGTATAAACTAATTGCATGAATATATCCCGAACTAAATATGTCTGCCTTATAAATTAAAAATAACAATGAATCGAACACAGTCCCCTGGGGCACTTATCTGTCGTTATAATTCAAAAAATGGTTTAGAAATATCAAAATCAAATCGGCGATATATCAGGACTTGTCCCACAGTGTAAGCAGCCCCAGATAATAATTGAATCAGTGACAGATAGACCTACGGGAGGGCTATTAACAGCCTATTGAGTGGCCGATAAGGGCGTGGGGCTCACTTCGATGACGGCGGCAACCAGAGCGATACACGCAGAGCTTCCTGTGAGGAAATGCTGTCACAAGGGGTGCGAGGGGCGATAAAACGTCAGTGTCATAGATATCAACTACATAAAATACTGTTACTGTCTCTTTCAACAATAGTTTGAGTATTTCCCCAAGAAAAAGTTGAATGTACAGACGTGGACAACAAAATGTGTCTGACTTAAAAATGTTTAAATTGTTTAAAATCCGAAAAATGCAAAAGCCGATATGAAATAATGTCAGATTTTTTTTCCAAACAAGCAGAACTGAATCTCGGAAGCTCATTTTTCAACAACATTAACACTTTTTGTCTCGTATCACCTTTCAAGGACATTTTGACACAATTGACCAAGAATGTTTCTATAATAATTATAAAGCCACCATAAAGTACCCACATTTTATAAGATGTCCATAATTAGGAGCGGAGTCTTACTGCAGAATAGAAAAACAATAACATTAAAACTAAATTCTTACCTGTTTTAACCTGATACTTGAGGGTAGTGGCGCAGTCGTGGATGAGCTGCTGCAAAGAAACGCCCTGCTCAGGTACTCGCAAATCCAACAACTTGATCATGTCTTCTGGGTGGTGAAAGTCCAGTATCTTCTCATTGCGGTCGTTTGTCGCTTTGACGAAATCCAACAGGATGTCGATTACCTTCTGGAGGAATTCCCTGGTGACTTTTTCGCTCTCGGTGTTGTATGGTAGAATGTCTGAAAGGAAGATCAGTGTAGGTATTTGGAAAAATAATGTACCCCATAATATTCAGTTTGAAAAAAAAAACCAAATCACCAAGAAGTCTTAAGTTTATATACTGATTTTCTGAGACGCCAATTTCTGAAGAGAGAATGATAATTTCTGGAACATCACTCTACTGTCTTTTGTTTTTAATATAGAACTCGCTAATATACGAGGATTGCATTGAAATTTGGTACACACTTACGTTTTGAAGATACTAAATATGTTATCATTTTTAACTTTCGGCTATCTTTCGATTTTCGATTACGATCGTTGATGGCATTTTAGAATATAACTGTTTTGAGATTACATCTGTAGATGAATTAAAATATGTACAGGGTCGCTGATATGTATGGAAACCGTCGATTACACAGTCGACAATTAATTATCAGAACCAGAAACCGGATCTAGTGTACCCGAAGGATTTTGGTGTGCTGATTATGAATCCAACCTCAGAATTGGCCCATCACCCTAGGTTCTCGAGATATTCTAACCTAAAAGTACAAAAATCGCGATTTTTCGCTATATTCTGGATCAGGTTACAATATGGAATTAATTTTTTTTTCTAAAATCGCGTTAAACCATATCATAGGTTACTCTTACCCTTCTAAGCGCACTTCGATTTTTTTGAAAATCTTGTTTTTCCATAGGGATTGAAGTTTAGTAACTTCAGTGATTTCGTTACAACATGGAAATAACAAAATTTATCCAAAAATGAGATAAAGCGAGATATAAAGGACTTATATGTTTCTTGAGTCGCTGAATTTGAAAACACCGGCGGACCTGCTCCATAACCTCAATATTTCAAGATTTTTTAACCTAAAATTGCGAAAACCTACTATATACCTACGGTGAAACCGAGTTTATTGAAGTTTTAATGATCAAATAAGGATATGGTGATAGAAGTGCATCTTTTTATGAATTGCATCCCGATCGGGAACGTATTTCTAAATCAACCGTTTCAAAAACATTGCAGCGTTTTCATGAAACTGGAGGGATTAGATCCACGAAAAAGTGGAAGACCAATAAGCGTTACAAATTAAGAAAATTATTTGAATGTCATGTTGGATGTGGTGGAAAATCCAATTAATTCGAACAACAGAGGGCTTTACATCATAATATGAGTTGATATTCCATTCAAAAAATTTTCAAACGAATAATTTGCATCCATATAAAATTCATTTGTTACAAGAATTGAGTGCAGACAATTATAATCGTAGAATCGAGTTCTGTCAAGTTATTATGGATAAATTAAACGAAATTTGACTTCTAAACAATATTTATCACTTTTGCATGTTATTCCAGAGCTTAGACGATTATTCCCGAACAATCCCAATTTAGCAGCAGAACAAATATAGTTTCAACATGATGAGGCTCCTCCACATTTTTGACGTGTGATACGGGCATATCTAGATGAAACGATTCCTAATAAATGAATTAGATGCAGAGAGTCAATTGAATGGCCAGCTAGGTCTTCCAGTATGACCCCCTTGACTTTTTTTTGTGGAGTTTCAAAAATGTATCCCAATTTAGCAGCAGAACAAATATGGTTTCAACCTGATGAGGCTCCTCCACATGTTTGACGTGTGGTACAGGCATATCTAGATGAAACGTTTCCTGATAAATGAATTAGATGCAGAGAGGCAATTGAATGGCCAGCTAGGTCTCCCAGTATGACCCCCCTTGACTTTTTTTTTGAGGAGTCGCAAAAATGTATCCCAATTTAGCAGCAGAACAAATATGGTTTCAACATGATGAGGCTCCTGCACATTTTTGACGTGTGATACGGGCGTATCTAGATGAAACGATTCCTGATCAATGAATTAGATGCAGAGAGGCAATTGAATGGCCAGCTAGATCTCTCGGTATGACCCCGCTTGACTTTTTTTTAGAAGTCGCAAAAAATGTAGAATACAATAATAGGCCGCAATCGAATGGTTGCAGAGAAGGATACGGCATGAAATTTCCACTATTCCTCCCTTTTAGATTCACTACAAAATTTTGTTCAGCGAATTCATTACTGTCAGGAGGTAATGGTGAACACTTTGAGCACCTTATAAAATAGAATTCCAAAGAAAATATTTGTTGTTTATTAAAACTTGTTATCTCTCTTTTTTTATTCTAGCATAACTATTGTTTTCATAATATTTAAAATATCCAAGACATTCATTAAAAAATACATTTTTCCGTTTCATGCATTTTTATCAACCATGAACTAATTATGCCTTTTTATTTTCTATAAAAAGCTAATAATAAAATTAAATCATATCCACATCCTGCACCTTGTGTTATTTTCAAAATAAATATCCATAATTTGGGGCCCTTTTTCTTTTATAAATTTGAATGTAGTAAAAAATTACTTTGGGAGTTCGATATCGCGAAAACGGTTAATTTAGGTACATGTTGTTTAGAATTTTGGGAAGAATTGAAATATAGAATAATATACAGGGTGTACCATTAAAGAAAAAGCAAGTTTGTTTCGTCATGACTTTTTGAGTGATTCTGTATACTTAATTTTTATTTATTGTACTAGATTTTAGAAAACCCTAAAACGTTTGTGTCTTATAATTTTTCTGTATCTATCTTACTTTAGGAGATAATCTACCGTTTCCATGCATATCAGCGATCTTGTATAATCATAAAATAATAAAGCTTTTGATTGATACACACGCATACCAATGTTTTCTCTTTATGCTCAACTGAAACGACTCCAGATTCAAGTTTTTACCTTCCAGCGCTTTCATTTATAAAATTCGCGATTATTTTCGGTCCACATACCAAACATATCTGAACCGAATAATAGAAAAACTTCGAAGATTCCCAACCCTCCCACCACATCCAATTTATCATTCTTATCTAAACTCCATTTATACACACCAGAAGCTTCGCAGAAGTTTAAATTCCTGACATTCCAATATCCTATTTCCACGTTTCCGTCCTTTAATGCGGAGTCCAACTGTCCAACTGATTTCTGGGAATAATTAGGCGTTTGCGAACTAATCTGATAGCTCTGGGCCGCCGTAGGGAAACCACTGCAATTTTTCAAAGTGTAATCCCTCCTCCCCGGTTTATTTAGTGCGGTATTACCGGCATTACCCTGTCCCTGGTAGTAACCGGAAGTACCCCCTCGAGAGTGAGAGATTTCTCCGAGATGTGTCATTAATAATATCTATTAAATATGAAAATTGGAAGGATTCTTTGTGCTGCAAGGAAAAAAGATATTGGTGGTTGCTCCTCACTGTAACTGATGATTTAAAATAAACTGTTTTTCTATTCTGTATCTTAAAATGAAGCGTTTCCGGGCACATATTTTTTGAAAATTTGTATATTAATTTGTGCCATGATCATTAAAATTAGGCCATTCATTTTAGTTATACCCGACTTAAAAAATATCTTAAAACGATCTTACATACCTACAATCATACAGGGTGTATCACGGTGATGGTCCATTAGAATTATTTCAGAGACTACTTCGATTTGGGATACCGGGTTTTCGGGCATGCCCTTCTCAACTAAAATAATGGCGTCCACGTACCACTTCCGGTTATACCGGAAGTCGCCCTCAACTTGCTTATTTTAAATGGAACACCCTATATATTATTGCAATTTTGGATTCTACGTGTTATTTTAGGTGGACATTTATGAAGTTTCCCTATTCCTAAAATTAACCGTTTCCGATATTTTTTTTTTTTCAAAAAATTGAAGGAAACAGTAACTAGCTTCAAACCATGTGCATTTTATAGTAAGAAAGATAAAGCAACAATATTTGTAGGGGGGATAGCTAGACCCCTAAGCTTTCCATCCATACTTTCAAAGTGTCTTAATTGCATACAGGGTGCTAGAAATTTAATGCCGAGTTTAGTTAACTTCAAACCTTCATGAGTCGGTTTTTTAAATGGAACACCCTGTATGTTTTTCTATATTCTGATGCACAATTTTATTCTCTTTCGAACGGTATCAGGGTTCCCTGTACCTATCTCTTCTAGTTTTTAAGTTATCTACTATTTTTTGTGTAATCACCTAAAGTCATATAATTTCTTGTGAGGATAGCCGTGGAATTTTTAGCAAAACTTCAAAACAAACAACAAAACTGTCAATTTATTTTTAGTCTCTTGCAGTGACAGTTTAATTTAATGTTTATAAGAAAGTGCAAACAATACATATTCAAATGCTGATATTTTAAATTTATTATTCATTCACGGACGTTGCAATGGGATTATAAGCAGAACATGTACAGTTTTTAATGAGACATATCCAAATTTACCACCCATGAGCAGAAAAAAGATTAGAACAATTTTAGCAAATCAACTAGAGTATGGACTAGGGTATGGTCAAATTAAGATAATATAATAAATGTGCTAGCCTATTTTAATGTTCATCCAGAATCCTCAACTCGTGCCGCAGAGTAAGATTTGGGCATTTCACAAGCGTCCATTCACAGGATGCTAAGAACTAATGATAAGCATCCACACAAATTTAAGCTTCTGCTCTTCATTCGGGTGACGCCGTGCAACGTGTACAATTTTGTGAAACGATGTTAGTGTGATACCAAGAAGATCCACAATTTTTGCAACATATTATATGGACAGACGAGTCAAAATTTACAAGAGAAGGTATTTTTAAAAAACATAATACTCATTTGTGGTCATCTGAAAATCCCTATGTTATCCGGGAAATAAACTTTCAAAATAAAATTAGCGTAAATGTTTTTTGTCTAATTAAAGATAACCAAATTTCTTACCATATCTACGTAGAAAATTTAAATGCCGACAGATATCTCAATATTTTGCAAACGGTTGTGGCATACCTTTAGACCAACTAAAGAAGTGTTGGTATCAATTAGACAGTGCTCCACCTCACTGTCACAATCAAATCTATCAACAGCTGACTGAAATGTTTGAAGATAGATGGATGAGACGACTAGGACCGTGGAATTGGCCAGTGAGGTCTCCCGACCTCACTCCATTAGATTTTT